CTCTCTCTCTCTCTCTCTCTCTCTCTCTCTCTCTCTCTCTCTCTGTGTGTGTGTGTGTGTGTTCCATTCTGGAACTCAGAACTTTGGGGTTGGCAGCAAGGAATGCACCACTATTGCCAATTGATTTGAGAGGTTAATCGGCAACTGCAACAAGATCCTGTTTCAAAAAATAAAACAAAAACACAAAGGAAACAAAAATAACAAACAAAGCAAAACAGCTCCTTGTAAAATCTGTAAAGATAGGTAGGTTCTATAGGTTGACTCAGAAAAACAAATCGATGATAAGGGTCTAGGGGATGATCCGGGGCCAGAAAGGTCTCCAGCCTCACAGATAGAGCAAAGGTCACCAGAATGAACAGCACGTCCACTTGCAGCTGTCAGGATGGATACAAGGCTTTTTCATTCCTTCCCTGCAAAGACTCACCTTGTGAATGTAACATACCAGGCTCCCCTAGTGCTGATCTGTGAGCACAGGCCTCCATCTTTCCCCCTTTGAGTTGATTTGCTGTGGCATTTTATCTGTGACGAATGGGTTAACAGGAGAGCTGATGAGAGTAGTTGCCGAATATCAAGGAATCCATCAGATTGCAACATGCCCATCCTCCTCATTCACTTGATGGAATTCTTCTACAAGGAGACAGCTTTCTTTATTATTTGGCTATCCTCAACATAATGAATTATTTTCCTAGTAAGGTTAAAAAAACGAAAGGATAAATCAGGTCTTTTTTGTAGTATCATTAGGAACTCATTGGTCCGTATTTATTTGATATACTTGACGATGTTGCCTCTACCCCTAGAAGGGAACATTCATGTCACACAGATGAGTGCCTGGCACTTAAGGGTGAGGACTTGCTAACCATGTAGCAAAGTGGATCACAGCCCTGTACTTCAAACCCAGGTATGTCTAGCAGGGGCCATAGGTCACAGAAACCCTGTTACATGGACGATGAAAATTTCATGAAAAGAATTATCAGCTTGGTCTAAAGTTAAGCAGATACCTGAAAAAACAAAAAGATTTTTAAATGTTTAAGAAGTTAACTACAGCTAAGAGAATAGCGAAGCCAGGAACTGTTGACATTTAGAGATGCAAAAGGCCCGTGGAGCAGAAGTCTGAGGTCTGAGAGGAACCAGGAGCCTGTGGGAACCCAGGGACTGCCTGTTCCTGTATCAGAGATACGGTAGGGCCACGTTTGCCCTAGAAATTCTGAGAAAACAGCAAAAAAGGAGGCCAGGAGGCTCCATGGCCACTAAGAATCAGTGGCCAGCACTGTAGAAGGGCAGTCCAGCTGTCAGAGGGAAGACACACTTCAGAGAGTTTGATTCAGAACCCACTGAGGCGTTCCTTAGGGTCCTGGCTTGAGACTCTGAGAAGCAGCAAATGCCCAGCTCACGTGCCCTCAGCAGGGCTGGAGGCTGACCTGAGTCTGTCTTTTGTCCCTTGCATGGTATCGGGAAATTTGAAGTAGTCATAGTGACAGAAGGAAATATCTTCCTGAAAAAAACACTGAGTATTTCTGAGTTGATACTTCCTGGACTGGAGGGCAAACCCTGGCTACATTTGTTTCCACAGTGACCAACAGGACTCCCATGGCCTCCTAGTTCTTAAAATAGGGTTGGTCAAGAGAGGACCATGAGCCACAGTGTTGAGAAGGGACCCTGGGCTTAGGTGTTCCTCTCTCATCTCTTAGTTTCGTGTGGGGCCAGGGAGGGCAAGGATCTTCTGGCTTTCCCTCAGTTGAGTTCTGGATCTCCTAGACAAAGTGGGTAAAGCAACAGGGGTCCCCACCTTCCTGAAGAATGTGTGAAACTTCCCTGTACTAACCCCACAGGTGGACTGACAGACAACTCCTGTCACCTCTGGCTCCTGATGGGCCATGAGTTCCCTGGCCTTCACTAAATCACATCCCTGGAACTGCAGATCGGGAGCCTGACTGGGCGGTTCCTGCCAGGTAATTGGGTTCCAGTTTGATTGCCACTAAACCCTGAAATGCAACCCTCCCCTAGAAGCTTCAAGGACTCAGACCCCACTGTGCTGTGGACCGGAGAGGAGCCATGGAGTCCTGGACAAGGTGCATCTTCTCTTGCTGCAGATCCTGACAGGTAAGGAGTGTTGGTTCTTCATTTTTTCCCAACTCTTTCCTCCCACAATGGCCTCTGCACCCTTCCTCCATCTTCCTGCTTCGTTAGGAACCCTTGACCACTCTCCCTAGACAACCAGGAGGGGCTGAGAGTAGAAGGCCAAACCCCTTGTATGCATTGATCCCAAGAAAGACAAGAGGGGAAGGGGCAAAGAGAAGATGATTGTTCTTTCTTAGTGGGGTGCTGCTCCTGAATCAGGTCTCACGGGGATAATAACCTCGTGAGTGAAATCTCAGCCCAGGCTCGTTCTCTTGTTTTTACTTTTTAATTCTATGAGAATTTCATGTGTACACAATCTATTTTGCTCATATCCATCTCCCGCCTCTCCCTCCACCTCCCCCGAGACTCCCCAACATGTAACTCTTCCAACATTGTCATCACCTCTCCTCTCCCCTCTTCTTTTGCTGCAACGCAGAGCCCAGCCACTGCTGTCCACATGCACATGGGTGTGAACCACCCAGTGGAGCGTGGGCAACCCACCGGTGGCCACACCTCAAAGAAAAATTACTCTCAATCACTTACCAGCCATCAACTGCTAATAGCTCCTCCTTGGGAGCCACTCCCCATCCACAATGGAGAGTTGATGGCCCGACCTTGTGCTGGTCTTAGGCAGACGTCTACAGCAGCTGTGAGGAGCTACATGGATGCACCCACCAAGTCATGTCCGGAAGACAGCATTTCACAGAATGTCTCCCCATCCCCCGGCATGCATTCTTTCTGCCTCCTCTTCCGTGATGCTCTGGAGCTTGGGAGGATGTTGATGTAGATATGAATTGCCCCAGTTAGGGCTGAGCATTCGCTTGCATATTCTTAGTGTTTTGGCCAGTTGTGAGTATCTGCATTAACCAGAGCCCATTGAGAAACCTTCTCTTGTTTTTCAGGGGGACGTGGAGATATATTGCCTCCAGGTAATGAATGACCCAGAGTTTCCCAGGGAAAAGTCTAAGGCAGGGGATGAAAGGAGTTGTTGGAAATGGTGGGACCCAAGAGGGACTGGCTTTCTGAGAAGGTTCGTCTGCAGTGTGTGGCCACTTCCGAGATGCTGGAAAGATCGTGGGTGGCCAAGATGCTCTGGAAGGACAATGGCCTTGGCAAGTCAGTCTGTGGACAGTGGAAGACGGCCACATCTGCAGGGTGCTCCCTCATCCACGAGGTGTGGGTGCTCACCGCTGCCCACTGCTTCCGCAGGTCAGTGAGGTAGGATGGAGGGTGGCTGCTGTTCTCCTTACCCTGCTGCTCTCCAGCAGGTGCCTCACAGGCTGGGCCTGTCTCTTCCTAGGTCTCGGAACCCTAGCTTCTTCCACGTGAAGGTTGGAGGACTGAGGCTTTCCCTTCTGGAACCCCAGTCAACCTTAGTGGCCTTGAGGAGCATCTCTGTGTATCCCACCTACCTCTGGGAAGATGCATCTAGCGGAGACATTGCCCTGGTGCAGCTGGACACTTTGCTGCAGCCCTCCCAGTTCACTCCTGTCTGCCTCCCAGGAGCCAAGGCTCCTCTTACCCCTGGGACTGTCTTCTGGGTAACAGGCTGGGGGGCCACCCAGGAAAGAAGTAAGGGAATATAACTATACCCAGTCCCTACTCCTACCCTGGGGAAGACCTGTCTAGGGGATGTGCTGCCAAAATAGGGGCTTCATCTTGGCCAAGGTGTCCATTCATGGTGGGGGAACCCTACCCAGTGTCCAGGTTTCTGCCTATTGCCAAGGCTCAGCAGCCATGAGATCCCGGAAGCTTACAGAGGCAGACAGGACCTGAACCCTGGTCCCTGACTCTGTTTTCTGGCTTGAGGACTTGGAGGGACTAGAGAACAGAGAGAAGGCAGGAGGCCCAGGCTGTCTGCTTGCTGGGCAGGGATCCAGGGGGTTCGTACTCAGGCCAGGCTTTTCTCTGGTCCAGACCTGGCGAGTGTCCTCCAGGAGTTAGCTGTGCCTCTCTTGGACTCAGAGAAGTGTGAAAAGATGTACCACATCCGGGAGACCAGCCTGTCAGGGAAGCAAGTTATCCAGTCAGACATACTCTGTGCAGGCTTTGTAGAAGGCCAGAAGGACTCCTGCCAGGTAACAACAGCCCTCTGAGTTTGTCTGGCCCCCCTGTCTTGTAGTCTGTATTCATGCCCCAGAGGCTCTAGGAGGACCAGAGTACTCTCCCAGGCTCTGTGGCCTTGGCAGAGTATTTTAAAAATTTTTTCTTGACTGAGGCCTCTTCCTTCTCCCTTAGGGTGACTCTGGGGGACCACTCGTCTGTGCCATCAATGGTTCTTGGACCCAGGTTGGGATCACTAGCTGGGGTGTTGGCTGTGCTCGTCCATACAGGCCTGGCGTCTATACTCCGGTGCCAGTCTACCTAGACTGGATTCAGAGGACTCTGGTGGAGAACCACTCTGATGCCTGCGGGTGCCACTCCCAAGCCTCTGGGGCATACCAAATACTGCTGCCAGTGTTGCTGGCCTTTGCCTTACCAGGGGCCCTGGGAACCGTGAGCGCTACAGTTCTGGATCCTCTTCTGCTGGGCTTGGAGACTCAGAGGCTCAGACGACACTGAGAAAATGAATCTTGAATGGTGGTTTTACAGGTGACAGCCTGGGAGGTTTGGAGGCTGCAGTGATGTCACACAGCAGCCCTGCAGCGGGAAAGTAGAGACGCTCTTAGAGGGCATGTGTGCTTCCTAAGGTCGCACAGCTAGCTGCTAGGGTGGAATCTCCATTAAACAGGCATGGTCCAGAACCTGTGCTCTCGCCTAGAGGGAAGTCTCACTGTATGGCCGACCCAAGCTGGCCTCGGCATCCTAAGTGAATGCATTAGAGACACTTGGCTTTTATTCTTCATTAAGAGACTTCCAGAGCACCAGAGCTTGGTTTTCACCTTACAACTGCGGGAGGTCCTGCTTCTGGCCTCTGAGGTCATACACACATGGTTCACAAACAGGCATACAATTACAAATAAAATATTTTAAAGAGATTTGTTTATTTTATTCAGACGGGTGTTTGTGCAGTGCTCATTCATATCTCTGGAAACTAGAGCTACAGATTAGCATTACAGACGGTTATAAGCTGCCATCTGCGTGCTGAGAATTGAGCCTGGGTCTTGTGGAAGAGCAGCCAGTGCTCTTAACCACTGAGCCATCTCTCCAGCCCCCAAACAAGATATATATTTTTAAGAAATCTTTTTTTTTTTTTAAAAAAAGGAATTTTATTAAAATTATTTATTCACCATTGCTGTCTTCAGACACACCAGAAGAGGGCATCAGACCCTATTACAGATGGTTGTGAGCCACTATGTGGTTGCTGGGAATTGAACTCAGGGCCTCTGGAAGAGCAGTCAGTGCTCTTAACCTCTGAGCCATCTCTCCAGTCCTTAAGAAATCCTTTGACAGAGTAACTTCACACCTGTTCAGTCTGACCGTGTGACTTCATTTCTTTCACTTTTTTTTTTGGGGGGGGGGGATTCAGTTGCATCCTATTTTCCAGAAGTATCTGACCGTGTATAAGGAACATCAAATTAGTCAACTGTCATGTGCTACTTGAGCTCTCTGAGTAGCTGGCTCTGGGAACTGGGTTGCCCCCATCCACTTAAGACCCAAGCATGTCTGCCTCCCAGTGCTCTTCAAGGTCCCTTATCTAGTAATGGGCTGGCTCCTGTTACTCTGTGGCAGGGAAGATAACACAGCAGACAGTGTGGGAATGAAAGCCTTGTGTCATTCAGAACTGCTAGAGAGAGAAGCTTTGTCAACAGAGGCTTCTCTTGCTTATCTCATGCTACAAAAGCATCTGCCATGGAAGAGAGGCAGAAGTTTGACCACAGACGGACAGCTCATTTGGGAAGCCAGCTGAAGTCTTAACTTTCCCAGTTTCTACTGGATGCCAAGAAGAGCTATTTTGTGGTGTCATCTCTATTTGTTCTTTTACGTGGAAGGAATGCTCTGCTGTGCCAGGACTCACTCTATCGGGGACTCTAGCCCCTCGACCAGGTTCCCCAGGTCAGGAGATGGGGTGTGCTGAGTCCCCAGTTCGATGGTGTTTTTGCTGTGTCACTTGCTATTTATTCTTTTACTCTAATTTACCATATACTTAATAACCTCACCCATTTAAAACTGCAAGCATGGCTGCCATAAATTCTCCAGAAAGTAAAGAACACTATGGTAGATTTAAAAATAGCCCCTCATAGGGCTGGAGAAATGGCTCAGTGGTTAAGTGCACTGTCTGCTCTTCCAGAGGTCCTGAGTTCAATTCCCAGCAACCACATGGTGGCTCAGGGCCATCTATACTGGGATCTGATGTCCTCTTCTGGTATTCAGGAGTGCATACAGATAAAGCAATTATACATTAAAAAAAAAAGTCCTTCATGGGTTGGAGAGATGGTTCAGTGGTTAAGAACACTGTCTGCTCTTCCAGAGGTCCTGAGTTCAATTCCCATGCCCACTAACACCCACACTGTAGCTTACAATGCTCTGTGATTATGGTTTCAGAGGACCTGGCATCCTCTTCTGGCCTTCATGGGTGCTACACATACATGCAGTCGATACACTATATTCATAAAAATAAATAAAAATCTTGGAAAATTTTAAAAGGCCTTGGCAGTTTGCCTGCATTTCACAGTAAGAATCGCTGTCCTCCTTCTGTGTGGTTATTAGCAAAACTCCCATTTCTTTCTTGAAAGTGTCTCAAAAGTATGATATTCATCCCGACTCAGTCAAGCCAAGAGCCAGGAACCCTTTGACGTGTCAGTCTCAGCATGTGGGTACCACTGCCACTTAATGGTCATAGAGTCTTCATTTTGCCAGCTCTGACCCGTGGAACATCTACCACAGACTCCTAACCTAGACTGTAGGTGCTTTCTAACAGCTGTAGGTGCTTTCTAACAGCTGTAGGTGCTGTCTAACAGCTGTAGGTGCTGTCTAACAGCTGTAGGTGCCATCACTTACTTGGCTGATGAGTGCCCCCTACTGGGTTTTAGCAGATGCACAAGAGGATGCCTGACAGAGGTGAGAGAGAACTTTGCAGCCTTTCTTGGGAAGTTTGAGAAGCTCCTACTGTCTGTGTGAGCTGAGGTGACTGGGCCACAAGGGCTGCGGAAGGAATGACTACCCTCCTTGAGAGAATCATCCAAACTCTATTTCCTGAAACTCTGCTAACTCTGGGTGGCTGGCTGGAGTGCTCCCCAGAGAGGACTGTGAAGTCAGCCCAGAGAAGACTGTCAAAGCCAAGGGGGAGACTGGAAATGGCTTCATTGGCAAAGTGCTTGATGCACAACATGGGGACCCGAGCTTGAATCACAGCACCCATGTGAAGATGCCAGGTGCAGCCGCAAGCACAGCGGTCTGAGTGCTGGGGAGGAAGAGACAAGGAACTCTGGGGTCTCCTGACCAGCCAGCCAAGATCCAAGCCAGAGAGGGGCCCTGCTGGAGTAAAACACGCAAGGTTGGCTTCCCACCTACACACACACACACACAAGGACACACAAGGACACAGAAGGACACACATACAGAGTCATGTACACACATTCCACACACACACACACAGAGTCATGTACACATTCACAGACACACACACACAGACACATTCACATGCACGCACACACACATGCACACACATCACACCCAAAGCTATTACTGACTGCCCAGGGCAGAGGGAGAGGACAGGTGAAGCAAGAGCCCTGTGAGCCCTGGACCCTCCGCCCTTTCAGAGGAGAGATGCCCTTGATAGCCTCTTAGTTATGTCTGGGAAGAAATGTCCATCGTTCTGTTGCCCCTGAGTATGGGTGCAGTGGAAGCCCTTGCTCTGTTCCCATGGACCCCCTCCTTACAGAAGTCTTCTCTGTTCCCCCTTCCTGCACTCCGATCTATCCCATTTGTCCTTCCAGAACCCAGAACTCAAGTCTGGTGAAAGATTTGGCCTTTCAGAGCCTACCTCCTTGTTTCTCACTTCCTCTCGATGTCCGGGGTCAAGTATTTTGCTAATACATTGTCTCCTCGTACCTCAGGGTAACTATCTCCCAGAAGCCAGCGAGGACAGCGGAGTAGACCAAACACAAAAGCCCCAGTTTTGCCGTCTGATTGTTTCACAATTGATTTTCTAAGCAGGAGCTCATATTCCCCGACCTGGCTTACCATGTAGCTTCTGACGACTTTGACTCCAGAGCACCCCACTTTTACCCCCAGAGTGCTGGAATTATGTGGACGCGCCACTAAGCCTGGTTTCAATTCTGCATCCCTGCTTAACCCATGACAATCAGCAAACCTACCCTGCAGGAGTCAACCCCTAGGAGGTGTCCAAACAAGAGCCCTCCTTAGATAGCCCCCCTTATCCCTTCTTCAGGTGACCTCAGAGCCTGGGTCTAAGAGACCCTCCTACCCAGGCAAAGTGTATGTCTCTCTGTGCACCCGCGTGTACTCGTGTGCCTCCATGTGTAGACCAACCTGTGTTTCCCAGTGGCATATTCCACCTCCCCTAAAGACTACTCCAGCCCATCTAGTCCATCCCACCATACTCCCTCAACAACAGGTTACAGGAAGGAACAGAACACATCCCAGAAAAAAAAACAAACAAACAGTTTCTGCAGCATGGTTTTAGGTCCCCTTTGTCTTTTCTTAGTCTGGCTTCCCTCCCAGATGATCGTGCCAAGATGGGCATTTGTACTTATAACGCCCTCTCACCTGGCTTCTAGCTTATGGTAGCAAGCAAGGAGGTGCTGGGGTTGGGCTGGGGGTAGCTGGGAGCCGAGGGAGTAGAGGTTGTGGCAGGCACCCTGGTGACTGTACCCATCCTTTTCTACACAGAGGAGTGTCACAGGCACCTCCTCTGGCTGCACTGTTCATATGATCTGGGTGGCATCCCTCAGACACGGATCTAGTGACAAGTTTGTTCTTGGACAGGCTGTAACAGAACTTAGAGTTCCGTGTTGCACAAGAGGAGGCCGTTCGTGGCCAACACAGACAGCACACAGACGCTCCTGCATGCTCAAGCCAGAACAGGGATAAGGAAGTGTTACAATTTACTCAAATGTTCCGGAAGACCCACAAGCTGATTTCTGTACAAAGGTCAAATTGGGGAATGATCAGGAACTAAACCAGGAGCCACGTGTAGGACGATGGGGCTTCCCCAGCAGTAGCCCAGGGCTGAGGGTACCATTGAGGGTACCATGGCTTCCTCTCTGAGCTTGGCGTAAGCCAGTGAGAAGTGGCTCTCGGGGACACGTGGGCTGTGCCTGTGGCACCATATGTGTTTGGCTCCAGGCTTCCAAAACAAAGACCCTCCACGATGTGGATGCTGAGCTCACTGGCAGGACGGTGCGGGAGGCTTCAGAAAAGGTCGTTCTCTTCATGATGGTGGGCTGGGCACAGGAGGTGATGGGAGGGATAGAATTTGGGTTTCAGTAGCATGCCTCACCACAAAAATTACTTCTGCCCTCTTGGCCTTGGCTTCATTAGCAGTAAAAAACCAGAATCAACCTCTCCTACAAGATGTTTAAGATGACTAAATGAGTAACAGTTGTGTGAGTATTACCAGCGCATCAAAACTGATACATACTGAATGCTGGTCTGTT